TCACTTTCGACATCGCCTTCATCAGCTTCTTGAGGTCTTTCCGTTTCACATTCACGAATGCACTCACAGAAGGAACAAATCGCTCGTGCCCAGGCAGATCTTAAAAGAGAAAATATGTCAAAAAAATTTTGAGAGAAATACAAAAAATATCAAGTTACCTAAGCGGATCGCTTCGTACGTGGCTCAGCAACGGCACAGTTCGGGATAAAATATCAGTGAGAAATGGAACAAGCCCGAATGCTAAAAAGAAAATTTTGAAACCATATGATCGAATGAAGAAACGTTGGTTCGCGTTCATGCTGTGTACAGCATCGTAGGAAAAATCTCATCAGGAGGGTCCTAACTGGTTGTTGAGGAGCCGTCGTTTCTGTTTTTCACGGATTTGGGGCAGTTCGGCGAAAGGGGTGGAGAGGAGGAAATTTCCCACTTTTGTCACTTCCATCGACGTGTCGAGCCATCTAGTGAGCTATATCAAGAATTGAGAGGTTTTGCCATGATAGCTCGACGACCTTGCTCCACCAGAGTGAGACTTGTGAATCGGAACTAGAGAAGCAGCGAAAAAGCAAAATGCCCCCCATCCCACTGCCGAACTGCGCCCAGAATGTTTTCCGAGCCACAAAGAAAGTTTTTCGAGGACTGACTTTCCGGTAATTTCCCTTGTCAAGAGTGTAACACCCCATCCCTTTACCCTTCCCGACGTTTTAGGAGGGAGGGGTGGAAGGAAAAGTAGAATTGTTTCCTAGAAAACGGCGAAAAAGTAATAAGAAAGTGGGAAAAACATTGGAATATGATAGGTAGGATGGCGGAAGGGGGTCGGAGGGGAAATTTGGGAGGAGGTGTTGACACTGCCACCCATCGCTGAACCTCACGGCACCGTACCCTTATCCTAATGTTGTTGTACCCTGATGTGAAAAGAAAAAAAAATCGCAGTTTCGAACATTGCACTACAGTCAAACGATTCTCTTCCGATGCTTCGTCATGCGCATTCTATGAAGTCAAAATTGCCAAGTTCGATAGTTTTACCCTACTTTGCACGCATTTTCCAGAAACAGAGACTCTCCGAGATTGAAGACTTTTATTCCGACGCGTGGCCGGCTCTGATCCGCGCGATGGTAGGATGTCCGCGCGCCGATCAGGATAGCGAAGTATGACGCACTCTTAGCAATGCATCAATGTGACCTTACGGGAAAACATTGCTCACAAAAAAGCTCACGATTATGCTCTGCAATGGTTGCCATTGTTAAGACAATATATCGGTGAGGACTTGTAGTCAATCCAGGTTGAAACTTCTGAAGTATCGCGTCCATCACATGAGACGCAAAACGAGGGCTTTTCGCCAATGTCACCAGCACAGTCTTAGCTGATTCTGCCCACTCTGCGTCTGCCTCCTAGAAGGAAAAGGCTAATCGGAAAAAAGGAACAGGAAATGGATTTCGAGAAAGCAATATAACTTACTTTGCTGGTCATAGTCATCTCCTGTGTGGCAAGGTTGATTATGAGTAGAACTAACTGTTCATCCAGTTCATTCACAATTTTCCCGTCGGAGACCACACTGTCGATCGCGTTCAGTACAAAAGCTTTCGATGGTGGGGACAACTAAGTTGAAAAAATAGCCATGGACGTTCAGAAAAAAAAACAGGACATCAGGAAAAGCTTACTTTAGGGTTCTGTAACAAGTATTGGTGACATGCTGTGAGTAAGGTATTCGGCTGATGAGCGCCTATTGATTTCAGCGAATCGAACACCTGGAAGAGATCTCACATTTTGCAGGATAGTTAAAAAAACAGAGAAGGGAGCTGATATTATTCAACCAATACGAGCTCGGATTCCAAGCCATATTCAATTTTTACCGACTTATTTCTAAGCGAGCAGATTTGGCTGGAAATTTGTCTTTAGAGGTAGTTCGAACTCCTGAACAAGAGTATCACATCCGCTTAGCTTGAAACTGCCTGGGAGCTGGCGCCAACATGCCCTAAATCACCAAAGCCCTAAAAACTAGTCTCTAGGAAGAGTTATGACCTTCTGAACATGAGTATCAGATCTACTTGGCCCGGAACCGCCTGGCGCTTGCGCCACAGGCGCCGCCGCCGAAATACCCTGAAGGGATACACTACTTCTCCCAGGCTTAGCCCTCGCAGAGCGTTAGTTAGCACTGGTGTTGAAGAATGAGCGCCATATTTGTGATGAAGGCTAAACAGCCCTATAATGTACGTTTTCATCGACCTTTAGAAATGGTGTGGCGCCGATATGGCGCAAGGGCCGAAAATAAATACCATATTCCTGATCACGGTACCAAAAAACCTCAATATGCAAGTTGACACCGATTTTGATGAAAAAATGTAGTGTTGCCAAATTGCGCCCGCTTCAAAAAAATGTCAGTTTAGTGATTAAAGCATCGAATAACCCGTATATGCAAGGATTCATGAAATTTTATTTCGAGTTTTTGTGGGCAGGGAATAGTTGAATAATACCAAAGGGTCACGGGCATTTAGTTTGACCGCGTTTATACTTCACTGAGGAGACTCGCCGATTTGGGAGACTTGGCGATTCAAGAGATTGCGCAACGAAGAAAGTATAGGTGTGGATCAGACGACGGAGCGAGTCGACGATTCGGCATTTAGGGTGATTCGGAGTTTCGGGGATTGCGCGTTAAAAAGGAAAGATGGTTATCGATCGGTATCGTGCCCAGTCGCCGCCAAATCGCCGGGTCTCTCCAGTCGCAAAGTGTGAAAGTGGCCTTAACTATTAATGCAAAAAGAAAAAAAAAACGAAAGCAGAACACACCTCATTTTTCACCTGATCGCAATTAGAATATGACGAGGAACAGTCTAGCAACGAGGAGATCAAGTCTATAAAGCAGTTTTTCGATCGAAAATCCATAGACTGATCGGCGCTTCCACCAATCAAGGTGGAAGGAATTGACAATGAATTCCATCACCACAAAATATTCACACTATTTCGCTATACGCGAAAGCATTTTCGCACCATCCAAAACGATTCCCATGCAACAAGGAATCGATCACCATCAATGGATGTCCCTTGTTGCGTGGGGGAACTGAATAAAAACACCACAACTTCACAAAAGACTCACCTCCCAAGCCTTGGCACTTGAGCCACCATTATGAAAATCCGCTTTCGGACAGTTGAGTTTTATCGAGGAAAAAATTACATTGACGAGTAGAGATTTAGAAAACAGGAATGATTTATTCCCTGAAAAATTTCTGAGTTATAATGGGAATTATTAACGCTCCACACAACAGAGTGAAAACAAAAAGAGTAGCAGGTGACCCTGATAAGGCGTTACTCTGGCCAATGAACTTGATAAAGCCGACGTTGCCTGCGGCTGCAAGGATCAAGCCAAACATGTACACAAGCAGAATGTTCATTTCATCATTTTTCTTTCAAAAACCTCGCCCAGCCCGTACTCGCACTAGACTCTGTCCACGTGCTGGTGTTATTTTCCAAGCGGCCATGAGGGGTGCTGTGGCCGGGAGTCTCACGTGCTACTCTCAAAGCAGTAGTACCGACGCTGAAGTAATGTAATCTTTCCTCCTGGAGTCTATTGGTTTGCACAATTATTCGGAAGACTATTGTCGCATGTGGAGTCCACATAGGCAGGGGGTCGTATTATGGTCGCTATGGAGGGTGGGAGTGGGGGCTCATGTTTGACTGACATAATTTTCTTGATTGTTGGCTTTCCCCTTCAGACGTGCTACATTAGTCAAAGTCTGAACGCGGTCTAAGTTGCCCAGAACCCAGCAGTTCGCCCACCCACGCCGGAGCTCCTTGCCCTTAGGCTTAGGCAAGATCCATCATCTCTCTCTTCATCCACCTTTCACCGCCCCCCCTCCTCAAATGCAACAAGTTGCTGAAACACTGCCACTTACTGCAAGGGTAGCGGAATGCTATGTCAGACTGTGTTCACACTTTGCGACAACAGGAATGCCGAGAAGTGAGCGATCGCGATCGGGAGAATAGTGAAACCGCCTAAAGGGTAAGCACTCATATCCTGTGAGAATTGCAAAACAGGAAACCGTAGAAAGAACTGAAAAGGTCAGATACGTACAGATTGATCTCCAAAGATCCAGTTCTCGGAGTTTCTGTGGAAGGTGACCGTTACGTATTCAGTCTTTCTCACACTTTTTCCGATTCGCTGTTTCTCTAATTCTCCGACTCTTCAGAGCAGTACGTATACTTACCTTCCTCGCGATCACAAATTCTCCTCATGTTGCAAAGTAACTCAGCCGAATAGTTATCCTCTGGCTTTCCTTTATAGCAACTTCCACGCGTACAGGATGCTCACCAGAGAGAGCAGAGATGATAAGCGATTGATCAATAAACAAAAACTCGACCGATAAATGAGGCAAATCCCATGTAATTCAGGCACAGTGGATCACAGTGCACATACTTAAATCGTCCAACGGACATCATCAGGCATAAGACTATGGACGGCGAATGCAGTTGCGGGAAGGCGACAGGGCAGCGTCTCTGTGTTCACTACCTCATCAACAAGGTTTAGCACGCGCGTTCAGTACTGTCGCAATCGCTGGGTCAGCTTCGCGCCGATTTGAATCACTCCAATCGGATCGCTGCGATTTGAATCAATCGAGATCACGACCGTGGAGGCGCTCACATCGCTAAACCAGTCGTCACGACAGCAGGGTACGTGATACAGAATCAGTAGCACAATTAGGCGTTCGCGTGCGACGTGCTCCATCAAATGACGAAATGGTTTCAGCAGTGTTTGATAGACGTCAAGCAGGCAATGTAGAACAATAAAATAAGCCACAAATGTCTGTAGTTTCGCAGCCAACGTGCAGTGTGTTGCTCCACTGGACAGGCTAACACGAATTAAGAAAACGCCGCGAACATCGCCGCGCGCGGTGGAGCGGCATATTAAGATTCTCTTGGACGTCTCCCCGCGGCAACGGCACAATTCAAATTAACATGGCCCAGTTTGACAAAAGTGGTCGTGCGATCCACTTAAGCGATTCGGTCGCGTGATCGCGAAGTCTGAAAACGGTGTTAGGCTCAGCAGAGGTTATGTCTTCTTTGCGTGACTTCGGAGCCTTACAGTATCTACCAACCACCAGGCTTTTCATCTCTCATTCTTTCTTCTTCTTCCTTCTTTCCCTTCCTTCTTTCCTTCTCTCTCACTTCCCTGTTGTTTCCCACCTTCGAATGCTCGGTTAAGACCCGTTGAGAACATACCTCCAGACCCTCGCAGGGAGAACATACGGGTGACAGAAGCCCTGTAATCATCTCTGGGCAACCCAGGTTGTCTGTGCTCCATGCCTAAGGTTTTTTGACGAATGGACAGGGCACGGCCCAGTTTCGCCTCGCCACCCCAAAACCGTTAAGCACGACGATAGTGGCATGAGATCTCGCTAAATTGAGCTCATAGGCATGAGAAATAACTTCCACAGATTCCAAAACTAAATATGTAAGAAATGAAAAGAGGGACAAGTTATTTCCTCTGCTTGCTAAAATCATGTTTCAAAATAGGGAGCTGAGTCGGACAACACTGATTAAACGACAGCAGAGAATAGACTCAACAAGCTTCTACACAACTCGACTACCAACATTTACGAACTGATACAAGTATTGTGAAGTTTTCTTGATGTTCAGCCCCATAAAAAGCTACAATTATTCGGACAGCTAACCTCCTCATTTCTCAAAAGGATAGGTTTATTTGGGCATTGTTTTGTTCGCTGCCCAACGCTGTGGGCAAAAATCAATTAGTAGCACACCAAACACCCAAAGCTGCAACAATAAAATGCCTTACTTTCTTAATTCAGCAAAATGAGCTTTCATGGTTAAAGGGTGCACCGACGAGTACCAGTAACCGCCGTCTACAAACAAAGTTAGATGGAATGAAATTGTGCCGTCTATTCTGCTTAATGAATTACTTGAACACGTAGAAAAAGTATCCAGCTAGTTGTTCACCTAATACTTGAACCGTAGAACTAGAAAGAAACTACTGATATGGTTTGGTGCGGTTTTCGCAACACTGTTATACATCTCAGTGCAATAGCCCGTCGGGTAGAGGTAGTCGCAATTTTGCACAAAAGTTTTTTGAAACGTGCCGCCGGTTTTGTGTCCGCGCCATTGGTCTTCGGTTTCTCGCATGGGCTGGACGTCATTAAGGCCTGGGAGGTGTCAAGAAACTACTCATCATTTGGCAGATGCGGATTTCTCTCCAGTCTTAGGAAAAAGGAGTGTAGCGCGGTTGTCACTGCTCTATGGTGACTCATGCGTTTTCAGGGCGGAGCAACACTTCGCCGAATCCGGGAGGCGACCCGCTGCAAGGATCGAGGACGGCCGCCCTCACCACCTTTCTAAGCAGGGCACGCCATCTTTGTGATGATCAAAGGGGGGGCCGTATTTGACCGTGGAGGGGAGGTCTCATTTGGTCGTGTTGGGAGAGGGACTGCCAAAGATGTTATACAACTACTAATAGTTGAAAATAGTAGTTAAATCCTGAAGACTTCCCCCCCCCCCGATAGCAAAATTTGGGGAAAAACCAGAAATTTTTCGGGAAATTTCGGAAAAACTGGTAGGAGGTTGGGAAAAAAATCTGAAGTTTTCCTGTTTCACATTGGGTATACACCCTCCTCCACCCCCTCCCGCTCCCCGCTCGATGGAAAATTTTTGGCTGAAAAACTGCAATTTTTTCCGGAAAATGGGAAAAGTGGGGAAAATGAAAAAAGTGAGAGGAAGTTGGAGAAAATCTAGGAAAGTGGTAGGTAGCATGGGGAGAGGGGTCGTATTTGAGGATGGAATTAGGGGGGGGTCGTATTTTTCAGGAAATGATCATCATGGCGTGCCCTGTTCCTAAGGGAGAAGCCCTCATCCTTAAAGACCTGCTTCGTCGTGTTACCTTCTCTTTTGCTCTCTGTTGTTGCCACGTAGTGCATCTTTCCATCGAATATGTATGTGTCTTATAGTTGCAATGTGCCTTGGTATCGTATCATAATAACTGTCTGTTCGCATGTATAAATGCTTTACTTGCCTACATTTATGGTTTATGGTATGAAAGAAAAACTCTAGTAACTTTACAGAGTCGAAGCAAGTAATGGTCGAGACAGCTTCCACTGGGGGCGCTCGTTTGCTGGTAGCAGCTAGTGGTCCCCCCTCGCTGAGTTCGGAATTCAAGAAGACTCTTCTCCTTCACCTTTGATCTTTCGATCTAGCCTCGAAGATGGCCACTTCGGCTTAGTTATGATTTCAGGTTATTACGGCGACTTTCTCTATCCGGACTTTCTCGACCATACTTTTCCACGAGGACCTAGTCCGTCCATGTATGATACCTATCATGTCAACACTCCCCAAGCCGCTTACCCCACACGGCAACACTTCACAACTGGATGATTCATCATTGTACATGGCCTCGACGATCGACACCCGACTACACAAGGACCTGATCAGTCGTTCAGCATACCGTCAATTTTGCACCAGCCTACTCCGTCTCCTACAAATTTTGCTTTTACAGACGCACCTTTTACAGACGTTACTGCAGCACACTGCATGGATCCGCTCCTTCATTATATATGTCTTCAGTTTTACCACCGATATCTTCTTCAACAGTACCAGCACCCAGAGCAGCAACCTCTGTTACCTCCGTTACGCCCCTTCCCTCACTACAGGCACCCCACGCACCTGCAAGCCATCCCAAATCTGCAATGAAGGTTCTTTCAGGTACCTTAGCTGCCTCCGCTTCTAATTGTACTACAGAGTAGCAAGATGTTTGTCGATATATTGGCGAAAGACAGGTAAGCAAAAGAGGAAAGAACGACGTGTTGATTCACAGAATTCCCGGGACGACACGCTCATTCCTTTTCTACCCAGCGTACAAGAGCAAAAGCATGGATGGTTGCTGTGGCGTTCATTGTTTAAGAGAAAGGAGGAGGGGTGGAGAGGGATTGGGATCTGGCGGATTCATCAGAGTAACCGAGGAAACCACAGAGTTTGCACGAATGGTTCCTGTTCACTCTCTTTTCAGGTTAATGGGAACGAATTTTGTCGGACCCTTGTAGTATGAATCATGAGTGTAATCCTGCCAAGTATTCTGAGGAGAGGGGGGAATCGACACGTGCATAAAGTGAGGCAATATCATTCTCCCCTAGTTCTGGTGTTGTGACCATACTTTTCAGGAGCTCGAAAAAGTGAGACGAGATCCTGTGTTCGCAAAAAAGAAGCCCGTCAGGGTTTTTTTCTTGTCATGCTGGTAGCTTCCTTGGAAGCACCCAATGGTAATGCTTGAGTTTCTCCATTATTTTGAGCGCGACACTTTCTCTCTTTCTAGACCCTATCAGGGGCCGCAATCCGTCGTTCTGCTTATAAGGCTCGTAGACAAGTTATAACTATGTACGTATCCTTCATTCTCTCCGTAACAGTTCTGCTAACTGCTGCTGTTAACTTATTGCCACTTAAGGAGCGTAAGAATGTGGGCAGTCAAGTCCGACACCATGGATCACGTTCCTCTGGAGTACCGCACTCTCCGTGACGGCTTCTCTTTCCTTCAGCTTTCATACTCCGGGGTTTCATATATATTACTCTGTGGCAAGTTCAAGTGAGAACTTCATGTCGCATAACTTATAGCTTTCATCCGATTCGTATTTCTTTCAGAAGGCGTGTGAAGCAGGTCTTCACGCCATTATAGCAGGTGGGATGCATTCCCTTCAAGCCAAGTCGCTTGGCTACAACGCGCAGCTTTACTGTGTGCATGGAGTGTGTTCTCTGAGCATAGAAGTACCCCTTCTTTATTGCATAACATCGAAGAAAACGCAGAAGGTCTACACCAAAATCTTCGACCATGTGAAGGCAAGCATCACTGGTGATGTACCACGACGCGTGATTTTGGATTTCGAAAAAGCAGCTATCTCAGCTGCACGGGACAACTTTCCGGAAGCATCCATAGAGGGCATTCATATTGTGCAAGCCTGGAATCGCAAAAGGAATGATCTCGGGCTCAAGAAGTTTACTCAGTGACTAGAACGAGACGATCGAGTGGCAGAGTGGTGGGACACCATAAAAGCTGTAAAAGCTATATAATTTAGAAAACTTCAGGGAATTGAAGAAGTATTTTGTTTTAATCCCACGAGTGAAAGCCCTGCAAGCTCCTCCAGTACCAACGGGACACGCCGCATATGAAACATGTGAAGGCCTCTTGAGCTACTTTGACGCGGATTGGCTTCAAGGCACGTTCAAGGATATGTGGTGTAAATGGAAACTAGAAGATCTGCGCACTACAAATATAGCAGAAGCGTTCCATAGGTGAAAGTAGTTTATGATTACGCTCGTCTGAGTACGTAATTAGACAATTTTAGGTGGCTTGGGTTCCTTATAGATGTTGACCACCCGCCCCTAAGCCTGCAATCGACGCCTTCCGGAAACTCAATTACGAAACGCAGACAGCTCTTAAGCGACTAGAAGTGGTTGAACCTTCATTTTGCCATCATGCTCCTTCATATTTGTAACCTTTTATTCACTACAGGATCCTAACAATGCAAGGGTGCTGCAGAAAAGAGATTAAGACAGAAGGGCCAAGATAGCAGAAGAAATGGAAAGGTAGGCCTCCTCGATAGATCTTGAATGCAAGAGATAATTCATAAAATGAAGACACTAATAAGCCTTGCGTAATCCATGTTTGATGAGCTTTACCGGAACGGAGTAAGTGACGATCAGATGGAACAGTACTGCTGGAAAATGGCTAGATATGTTACAAATGCAACTTCATAGATCTTGTTTTTGTAATTCATGTGCTTGTTTTGAATTGCAATATGATGAATCTTTCCCAGTTTGCCAATATAACGGTAGTACAAAGTTAAGTAATAAATTTTTGAGTCTCTCGTTATTCTGCTTGAGGTGAGCCTGATAAGCGGTCAGTCAATATAACGGACCGCTGCAAGCCCCACTGCAAGGGAGACTAGGTTCGAGGATGCAGTCGAGCCCAACTAAATATATACACAACTAATAATTAGCAGCACCCATATTCTTATGTACGTAATCGCCAATGAGTATGTGGCGTCTCGACTTTTGACTAATCCGTTTCTAGCAGAGCATTTAACCGCCTCACATATTCTGGAGCATTAGCAAAATTTATATCCTTCTCTGGTTAGTCCAAGAGTTACTATTCAGAAGACAAAAGGGTTAAGAATAGTATAGGTCACCTTCTGCTCGAATAGCAAGGAAAAGAGAGGAACCGCTTCTATCGCTATCATATACACAATTTCTTCGAAGCGCTGCACGTAATGGTAATGCTCACAAAATACAAAATGTCCCCTACACCTCCTAATCTTCGACGCGTAGGCGTAGTCCTAAGCTACATTTTACACCAACAATAAAGAGATTGCTCTAGAACTAAAGACTCGACTTTCGCCTGATCTACGATCTACTCACTATAAAATTGTACACGCCACACCACATACACATACAACACACACAGCACAACAGCACACACAGCACCACCAGCAATCAGCACACAAACACCATCACCACACACACCACACATTAATTTCGGGATTCGCATTAGCTGGCATAACAGGTGGCGCCAACGGCCAGGCGGCCAGATCTTTGTGGGGAGATCTCATAGGGCGGGATCGTATTTGGCCGCCAGGCAGGGGGCGTGGTTATTCGGGCTGCGCGAAAAACTTAAATTTATGATAGCTTGATTTTTTCTCCTTCGGGCCGGACGTGATCAAGGAGGGGGTATACATTGGCCATTTTTGAGAGGGAGGGTCGTAATTAGGTTTCGGCATTGTACGAGCGATGGTTGGCTTTTATTTTCCTGTTTCATGGTACTGTATACCCCCCCGCCCCGCTCGACAGCAAAATTTTTGGGAAAAAGTAGGGAAGTTTTTCGGGAATTTTGGAAAGTAACAGAAAGCTGGGGAAAATCTGAAAATTGCTTGAAGGAGCGCGTATTGTCTCGCGGCTTTTCCTGTTTCACATGTGCTATTTTACTAACCTCCCCCCCCGGAGGGGCAGTGCCTCCCCACAGGGGGTGGGGGGTGTACGGACTCGACCAAAATCCCCAACCAATGTTGTGCCCCGCTAAAGGCTCCACACCACTGCAGCTCCTATTGTCCAAAAACCTTTCTGAGAATTTCTGTAAACCTATAGGACGAAAGCATGGCGTGATCTGAGATGCGCCGCGCCATTCAACTTCTCTCCCAGAGTCGCAATAGTATTATTGGTGCTAGCATAGCGAGATGTTGCGAGGCGGCTAACGTATATCTCGTTATTTTTATCCTAGGTCCGTCCGAGGCCTATTAAAGCTTGGCTTGACTTTGAGTCGTATCATCCACGGACTGGATTGTTTGGTAATGGCACTTACATTAAGCTACTCCACTGGCATTACCTCCGTCTTACCGCTGTTCAAGACAGGTGTGAAGTGAGCTCCAGGTTCGGCGCTACGTTTGCGTTCCAACAAAACGGCCCTGTATCGCGCTATGAAGAGGCAAATAAAATCCATGGGCAACCTGGAAAATCCGTAGTGTTTCATGATTATTTTATGGCAACTTTCATTGCTAAGGCATCCCTGAACAGCAAATAATCTTCCGACATCCCTGTTGTCAAGGAAAAAAAAGAATTCTACATACTACCAAAGTTAAAAGCATGAATCGTAATTCAAAATGTAAGCATTGCAGGATATGTGTTCCTGACCTCATCCGCACATCAAGGACTTCTTCTATGACGAAGGTTGAGCCGCGGCCTCAGAGAATGGCCCGAAACGGTACTATTAGTTAGGCATAAAACCGCGCTGTCAGTTACTACAAGAATGATGAGTTACTGACGAAAGTGAGCCCGCGGTACTCGAACGCGACACTCACACTTTCTAGTGCGCCATCCGTCACGCCACCACGCCGCTCTTACACTCCCCGTACGAAATGTCAGTGTCAATGCTCTTCGAAGTGCAACCACTCCTCGTACTGGTAAGATTTCCTGTTTGGAATGAACGGCACCTTATTTAAACTTGTTGAATACTGTTTTCTAGACCACAATCCTCCAAATCGTAGGTAGAAAGACCTTATAATGGATTGACCCACAAGTGATGGCGTTTTTATTTCGAGTATGAAATTCCGGGTGGACAGTGGAAAGCTTTTCCAATGTTCTGAATTTTGAGCTAGAACATTGGGAGGAAAAAAGGGATCGGAGGAAAAAACCCCTATTTGCCAACCCATAAGGCTGAATGAGATGGTTTACCAGAGGATCACACACTGGTTATGGTTAGACGTTACAAGACGATCATTTAAAAATACAAATCAAAATGATAAGTATCCGGAATATGTCGAGGGTACACCCGCTTACGTGCGAAAAAAAATTGTTGCAAGAAACTGACGCAGTCCATCGATTTGATGGCACAAGCAGTCAAGCTAAAACCGCCCCGAGCAACACGGCGCCTAGCACAAATATGCAAACAAGCGGCGTTGGTACATATCTTTTGCATGCATTTTCTGTGATTTATGTGAACAGATGGAATGCTGCCGGCACAGCCTGCTCCTCAAATGGCAGAAGGGGGCTTGTGAGGAGGTGGGGGGGGGGCTAGGGAGGAAAGAATATTTGCAAGGTACGATCCCTCCCGAAAATTTGCTCCTCTAATACGGTTCCCCCCTCTTTCTCCAGCACCCGAACACCTAACATTTCCCTTAATTCTACACAACTCCTGCCATTCCCTTCGAGGGATTCTCCACATTTTACCCGGGAAGCTGTCGTCAAGCAGGAGTGGGCTGAGGGTGGGGGCGGGAGAGTGAAGCGCGCAGAGAGGAAATCGAGAAAAGTTCATCTTCATCAAGTTCTCTCGAAAGTAAATACGACCCATATTTTCCTCCAACTACCAGATGGGACCCTCCCCCCCCCCTCCTTCCCTTGCTGGGAATTCCCAACCAGGGTACAGCATCGTTGTTGAAACACGTTAGGGGGGTCGTACTTTTTCTTCCGGGGAAGGGGGTCGTATTTGTCGTTGGGAGGAGATAGAGGGCCGTGTTCTTATATGCCTCTGATATAGAGAGTGATTTGTCGCGTTGGTTTCCCGGTTGTTGGCTTTTTCGTTGGTTTTTTTTTCATGTGCACTATTGGTGTAGTTCGCTGCGGACGTGGGCGGTAGGCGGGCAGTTGAGCTTGGTGCGATGCCAAACTCGTTCTCCACCAATTGTTGAAGCGAGGAAATGTGACTGTATCATATCGTTCGTATTAATCGTTTGCTATCACTTTTTGTCGCATGCCGCGCTTTGAAAAAAGGCAGAGAAAGCTTGGACGGGTGACACACTAATACTGCTGACACGCTCAAACCGTTCGCGTTGGCAACTAGAGTGTATTATACCTCTGTCCCCACTCCCCCCGCCTCCTCGCTCCACATCAAAATTTTAGTGAAAGTAGGAAAATTTTTGGGAACTTGGGAAAAAACGGTGGAAGTTGCGGGAAATTCTCCTGCGTCACACTGGCTAGATACCCCCGCGCTCGACGGAAATTTTTCTTGGCCGCTGAAAAAACTGGGAAAGTGGTGGGGAATCGGTCAGTAAGGTGCGGAGGAGAGGGGGTTGGGTCGTGCTGAGACATTTCCCATTTAGGTGGGCGGGGGGGGTTACTCGATACTTCTCTCGAAAGGGGGGGGTTGTACCTACACCATCACATCACACATAACGATTGTACCTTGTCCCAAAGCACGGTGTGTCCTGGCCTGCATTTACTGCAGTTACCTGCCGGTCGGCCGTCGCTAGTTCTGAAAAAAACTGGCTATGGCTTCCGAGGATAGCACATTTTGTATTAGAGTTTTATATGATTCAAAGAAAGGTTGAAGATGTGTCAGCATGTTGTATAGCCTATGCTTTGGAAAGTGAGAAACTGAATGCAACAGTTTTTGAGAAAGCTTAATTTTCAGTGTAACTCTTGAGCAAGTGAGGTGGGCAAAAATGGCATGACATTGAGCCACTACTTTAGGGAATGCGCCGCATCAGATTTTCTGTCTAAAAACCATTGGGGTTCCGCTCTTGGCCGACCTTTAGATCATTCACGTCACTGCCTTTGGAAAAACCTGGCAAATACGGGCCACGGCAACTTTTCAAAAATTCCTCCACTTTTTCACCCGAAAATTGCTATCAACCGGTACATAGCTGAACACGAAAAAAAAAGATGAAGGTCAATAATCAAAAATCTTTTACGGACAATCGGAATGCACAACCCCCCCCCTCTCGCCCGACAAAATACGTTCCTCTGTGCTGGGGATCCCCGTGACCTGGTGTGGATGATGCCTCCCCATCCCCGATGATGATTGATGTGCCCCTCCCCACCCTCGTCCCTGTACTTGCATATGTATAAAAACTCGTACTAAACTAATGAGGTACCTTTGCTCGTGCGCTTGATCGAATGAACCTCGGTGAAACACCTACTGAGCCCAGCGAAATCACTCACGTAGTGGTAAGAGATTTGAG